ATATATTCGAGGACTCGGCTGATAATTTTTTGTTCTTCATCTTCCCATTCACATAAATTCGCCGTCCCCAACTTTTGTGAAATTAAATAGGCGTCTCGAATTTCTGCTTCTTTGAACTTCTTATAGCTGAACCTTTGTGAAGTTGAAGCATTTTTGGACGATCTTCCATGGGAGCAATTGATTACCGGTTGTTGTACGTGTTCTAAAACGATACCTTGTTTCATCTTCATCATTGTTCGAATTAAGAGCTAGGTTGCCTTACATTAGCCAATGCCAGAATTTTTCAGATGAATATTGGATAGAAAGAGAGAGAGAGAGAGAGAGAGAGAGAGAGAGAGAGAGATCATCTAATTAATGTTTACAAGGATATATGGAGAGTGAGAAAAAACGATCTTAATTCTGATATAAATGAGTCTCGTACAAATGAAATAAAGATCACTTGTATATCCTATTTTGATAAATGTTTGCAAGGATGTTATATATGTAAATATCTCTAGACAATAGTCCATGTATGTAATTTTCCCTTAGTATTTCTTATTTCTAGCTAAGTTTACTCAATTTACCTTTGGAGAAATTGTAACTGCCTTATAAGGCCGACTTTTGCATGAGAAAGGAATCAATCAGTTATAACAAAACTATTCTCTCTTTTATCTTCTTCTCCACTCCATCTTTCCTAAATTCTATCTATCCCCTCTCCTCTACAATCTGAGAAATTCACCATAAAAATTACAGAATTCACTAATTATATACTAGTTCTTTACACTTTAGTCTCTTTCATCTGAGTTATCACCAAAATACAATATCATCACATACAAGTTAGGTGTCGAAACCTAAATAGCAAATGGCCAATTCACATCATGTTAACGAAGTCCAATATGTATAGCACTTCACTGGGGTTGGTGACGAGCATATTAACTCAAGACCAGTAAGAATCTTCAATCCTCATAAAGTAGTAAGTTCTAATCTTCAAGCCACATTGAGTCTTTTGGAAGTTGGTCTGATGCCCATACACTTGATGGCAAAAGATTGTTATGAGTGATTTACCAACTACTATGAATGTATTATATAAAGATCATTCTCATCCTTGGCAACTCAAAACAGTGTCCAATAATGTTATATATGAAGGTTACTCGATGTCTATGCATCAAAACCGAACTATAACCTCATCATGTTTCTTAGATTCAGATTAATGGACAATAATCAGCAGATTAAACGAAAAAGATAGGATGTACAACAACATTAATATGGTGTCAAGATTGTGCCCAGATGATAAGAAACGTTGTTGGATCATCAAGCAAGGAGGTTCATCCAGAGCCGGTCCTGGAGTTAATGGGCCCTGGGTCAAATATAAAAATAATGCCCCAAGTATCATTTTTAAGAATAAAATAATATATTTAAGATAATGCCAACAATGATCCAACATTATTTTATTAAAAAAAATTATAATTTAATAAATATTACAACTTCTCGACAAAGCTAAAAACAGTAAAATTTAATAAAAAACTTATCACTCATACAAAAAGATAATCTTGAGGAGCTTTCACCTTGCAAAAGATAATGTCAATAGTGCTTCCACAAAAAAATAATGTCTCGAGAAGAATATTAAATGTTTCAAACAACCGTTGTGGCCACAAACGAATTAATTGTAAAGAAATTACCTAAAAAGGCTTCTTCGGGCATTTTTAGCGGCAAAATCATCACTTACATCTCCATAATCAAGATTTTCAATAATATCTTTTTCGATGCATAGAATAGCTAACCCTTTCAGTCTATCTTGACTCATGGATGTTCTCAAATAAGATTTTAACAACTTCAATTTAGAAAAACTCCTTTCTACCGATGTGACAGTTACAGGCGAAGTCAACAATAATCTATATGCAATCATAACATGGGGGAACATATCCATATCTTTTGCAAATTGCATTATTTTAATGGCGTCCATGACTCATTTGTTTC